GCTCAGTTTCTGTTTCCAGATGCTCTTCTGTGCTTAATGTGATGTACAATACTTTACACAATCTAAAACAGGAGGTAACTATGGTGTGAATCACCATGAGGAAGCCTTCCAAGTCTGGGATTAGATGCAGTTGGTGAAAAAGATCAATCTGTGCAAAAGCCATCCCAGCCACAGCTGCCACCTGCTGTTTGAACAGGAGTCAAGGAGGGTCCACATATTATGTAATAATTCTGACTGGGAAGTATACAGCCCTGAACAATTAAAAATGGAAAATCCTTGGAATTGTATGACCTTAATGTGGACGTGGCCTGTGCATGACACATCCGGCCTGCGGGCTGCCAGTTTGACACCCCTGGTATATGACATGAAGGCTGCCTCAGAAAGTCAAAGTTAAGCTCTCTTGAAAGTTTGCAACTTTCCTTAGAATTCTGGGGAAAATAGGAATACTTTGAGATATCAAGAGAGATATTTGTCATTTTTTTAAAAATTCTTACTCTCTTAATGAAGAACTAAGAACTAATGGAAGCTTAATTTAAATTATAATAGTGGATGCAAACACAATTCTGCTCTGTAATATTCAATGGTTTTTTGCCAGAATATGCAAAGTTCACTTTCAGCCACAAGTAAATCATTGTTCCAGGGGAAAAAAAAAAACAGAAACCTTTATTCTTTTTAATGTTCTAGATAACATTAAAAAAAAAAACATTTATGGAAAGCAATTTAACATGGGACATCTTATCACTAGCTGTGATGTCTTGTTATATATTCCCTGAAGGATAACAATGCAGGTGTTTCAAGTAGCTCTTGAATCACATCAAATTCAAGCTATTCAAAGTTCTCATTAAAAAAAAAAAAAAAAACTTGCCACTCTGCAAGGGCATTTACATATAGTAACAGACTTCCACATATGGATCCCATTTTCCCATGTGCACCGACTTAAGCAAACAATGCTAACTATTATTTATGTGTTTATTTATAGATAGCATTCCTAGCAAAATTCCTGCAAGTGAAGGTTTGCCTTTTTTTTGCATCAAGTCAGTGTTGTTGATCCACTGATTTTGATTGGAATTGATTGACTGACTTGTCACCCAAACTTGACATCACACGTTGCCTTTCATGCTTAAGGAGAGGTTAGAATTCACAGTCTTTTGGTTTCTAGCCTGATCCTTAAACACTAGATCAAACTGACTCTTGTTATATACATATATTTAATATTGTAAATAATTGAGTCCATCTACCATGATTCTGGTTATAGACTTCTTCTCTTTCTTGGCTTTCTTGGCTTTAGATGATTTGAACCTGGTCATTTGAGCCTCCAGAGGGAACCTGTGTTTATTTGTTTGATGATCCATTGTTTTATTTTTCCCTTGGCTGTCCACAGTATTCTTAGCAACCTTCTTTAACACAAAATTCAAATGCATCAATATTCTTTTGCAAATAGACAGAATGGTAAAACAACAACAACAAACTTCTGTACACAATGAGACGAAATGTTGAAAAAGAAAATATGCATCAGAAAATAAAGTGAACTTAAAACCACATTTAGAAAACGTTAAGGAAGATATTCCTGAATTGTTCATATTGTCTAGTAGATGCCACTGAGATTGCAGTTAAGAAGAAATGTAGCAATTTCTTGGCAAAATGGACTTTACAGTGCTTTTATTTTTATTTTCTTAATTATTGTTTCATTTGAAAGTCACACATTATTTTGCCTATTTTGTATATCCTCTGGGACTTTTAGAAACCTTGAAACCTTGAAAGCTGCATTTTTGCTTTGTGGAGAATGCATTCTAATTGCTAGTTTGACAACGTATAATAACAGAAGAGCATCAGTGAATAGAAAAAAAGGACCAGAATATGCAATTATTTTATAAAAAGCTTTTTTCCCTTGAGGAGGAAAAAAAAAAAACCTTTGCACTTACCATCTATGACCAAGGAAATGTTGAGCTCTGTATGTAAATTACTTCCCCCTTTGTGTTTATTGGAATGGATTGAACTTGAAATGACATTAAGTAATTTTGATATTGTGTGGAGAGGACATCAAGAAATGTTACCATCATGCATTATCATAAATCCTTATTCTTCCCAATAAGTAAATCTTTGAACTCAAATCATAAAATATAGCAATAGCATCTGTAATTTTTACTTAAACATTTATTTATTTTTTCAGTAATATTAATGCCTGCACATCCATATAATCCTATATAATAAATGTGCAGTTTTTGTATGTTCTTCCCAAAGTTAACATTCAATGTTCCCAAACATTCAATGTTTTTTTTTCTTTTTTTGTATCAGAGATGGGTAGAGATAGCCCATTGGCACATGGAAGGAAGGAAGGAAGGAAGGAAGGAAGGAAGGAAGGAAGGAAGGAAGGAAGGAAGGACTCATCTCAGTTAAAGGACACTTTAAGTCTAAATTTATGTTGAAACTATCATGAGTTTAACAGAGGATATGATCTAGTGGTGGGATTCAAATAATTTAACAACCAGTTCTCTGCTCTAATGACTGGCTGGGTAGGTGTGGCCGGGTGGCTGGGTAGGTGTGGCCAACTTAATGTCACTCTTCACACCCAGCCCTGCTTCCTGGCCACTCACCTCAAAGGCAGAGAAGGGATTCAGCTGGTTCGGACTGGTTCAGGCTCATTTCATCACTGGCTGGCCCCACCCACACGTGTTTTTCAGCACTTTTTGAAGTCCACAAGTTTTAAAGTTGCCAAGGTTTGATACCCCTGAGCTAGATGTTCAATGTTTTTCAAATTTGGGAACTTTTAAGATGTGTAGACTTCAACTTTCAGAATGCTGTCCGGTCAATTCTGGAAGTCCACATATTTTAGGATTGCAAGTTTGGAAAACCCTGTCAAAAATTGGCAAATTAAGATCCTTTTTAGAGATCAGTGCTTTGATCTCCTTTAAAAAAAAAACAAAAAAAACTCATTACAGATTATCCTGAGCAGCATGTCTATGAAGGAAGACTCTAATAGAAACATGCTTTATGCATAAAAATATAGAAAGGTATCTATAAGGATCACTAATCTCCCCACCTTCATGGACCATAATTTATGAGAAGTTTGCAATGATCTCAGCATATTCTCAGCTTTGCCTGAATATGCAATATCTATGCTCTGCGTTGAGCTGTGATCATTCTGGCCCTAAAAATAGACACAAAGTTCTTTCAATCACAAGAATTGTCCTCCATTCTCTTTATTTATAGTATGAGACCCTAAAAATAGACACAAAGTTCTCTCAATCATAAAACTGTCCTCCTCTGTCTTTATTTATATTCTGGAATAGTCAGATAATGAGGAAAAACTGAACAGGAGAGATACATGGACAGTCATTATTATTGATCTGATTTATTCTAGAAGTTATCACTGGAAAAATGGGACTTTTACACTGATACTTAAGATTCCTTTCCTACCCCACCCCATTATTGATGTACTGATATGGGGAAAAGGTCCAATTGGGTGGATTTTTGACCTTCTTTCAAGCTTATTTTCTCAGAATTGGTTCCAAAACTGTGTGTAAAGTTTATTAGTACAGAAATTGTAATTGGAGCAAAGAAGGAAGCAGGGGACTTTAGGAAGACAACATTATGGCAATTCAAGTTTTTGATGAAATTTTTTTGTTTTCCTTATTTTCATATCTTGGCTTTAAATCAACCCATATGGTTATGTAATAATCCAAATTCAGAAGCGGAAATATGCTTTGGGGTGAAGGGTCACTTCGTGTTTGCCAGCAAATGTTTAAAAGATTTGTGCAGTGGGGCAGGAAAGAGCATAATGGATGTGAACTATTGAGAGGTCTGAAGTGTATGCCCACACAAGCTATGAATTCTTCTTCCCCTTTCAAATCCAGATTGTTGTACAGCTTCAAGAGAGGTAATTGAACATTTGAAATCTTCATTTTTGGGGCTGTTTTTTGGCCTTTTTTGGGCTGGTTTTTTTTTTTTTTTTTTTTTGCCATTTTGGATGTTCAGTAGTAGTAAATAGACAGAGATGGAAATTGTACTTTGTTGAGGCCTTTGACTCAATTTCCCCCTCTATTTATTCACTTCTATTAGTAGATAAGTAAAACCAGCCCAAAAAAGGCTCAAAATGGGCAAAAAACTGCCCCCAAATGGCTGAAAAACATCCCCAAAAATGGCCTGAAAAATGGCTGAAAAACAGCCCAAAAAACTGACAGGGCAGGGCCAGCCAGTGGTGGGATTAGCTAGTTCGCTGAACCGGGCAGAATTTTAATCTGAACCGGTCTGAACCAACTGAATCCTTCCTCTGATATGATCCACACATGTCTTTTGGACTGCTAATGTTTCATTTACATTGATTAATGGAGTGGCTACGGAAACATACAAGGAGAGCTAACAGGAATTGGGGGGCAGAGCTCAGTGGAATAAATTATGGGACAGTTCTGAACAAATCTAAGTTGGCAGCTCTTAGATAACCTGAGATCATAAAAAGAGAACAGGAAGAATTGATTTTTATTGCTGATGCTTTTAAAATGAAAAGTAAAAGAAGAAAGAATATGTTTACAGTTATAGCCTGCATATTTTCCTTCTTGCCTGAAAGAGAGCCTCTCTAGTTGGCTTGTTTGTTTGTTTACTATTAATTTTACAGTATATCCTATTTTTCCTGTAGAATCTCAAGGTAGCATATAATTGAAGTGGAGAAGGCTTGGAGAAGTGCCTGAAGAAAAGAAGATGCATAGATTCAGCAACTGAATGAATGAATTATTTCAAACAAAGGATATGCTGCACAGGAAGTGACAAGAGGAAGTAATTGTCCATAAGAAAGATAAGAATGATAATGAGATGTGAAAGACATACAAGGAGGGACAGTTTCCAAGGTATCAGAAGTATCAGAAGGTATCATAGATGGTATCAGAAAGATTGTAGAATGAATTGAGTTTTTCAAAAAATGTAGTTATGTAGAAAATGTTCACAGTGACTCATGCTCTTCTAACCTTTCTTCTAACCTTTAGACTACTGCAACATGTTCTACATGGGGTTGCCTCTCCAGAACATTCATAAACTTCAACTAATGCAGAATGCAGTCTGCGCAGGTAGTAAACAATGCCAAATATATGGCACATGTAACACCACTACTGTGGGAGCTGCATTGAAATCAGCCTATCAGCTTCTTATAAGAACTTGGTAACTCAAAAAGGTAAGTGGTAATGAAGAAAATTACTCAACTACTTTTTTAACTTGGTCTTCTATGATAAAAAAATGTATTTCACCAGGAAATAGTTGAGAATAAGATAAAGGTACAGGGTTGAAGCTTGAGTTTGAAAAGAACATGGTTAGGCAACGGTTCTCTAATTTGAGTAATTTTAAGTCTCTAGAGCCAGATTAATTGCAGCATGGCATTCAAAGAAATTAGCTGATAGGTTGGCTAAAATGTCAAATATTATTATTGAGAAAATATGGAGAGTGGATGGCAAATTTTGTTTCTTTTTTCTTTTTTTTTAAAAAAAGGGGGGGAGAAAATCCAAAGATTTTCAAACCATCCAGCCCCACATGATAATCTGGAAACATTTAAATGTATGTATTAAAAAGTGATCCATATATTGGATCATACACTGACATGGTGGCTCAGTGGCTAAGACACTGAGCTTGTCGATTGAAAGGTCAGCAGTTCAGTGGTTTGAATCCCTAGTGCTGCATAATGGGGTGAGCTCCCATTACTTGTCCCAGCTTCTGCCAACCTAGCAGTTCTAAAGCACGTAAAAAAAATGCAAATAGAAAAATAGGGACCATCTTTGGTGGGAAGGTAACAGCATTGTGTGCGCCTTTGGCATTTAGTCATGCCAGCCACTTGACCATGGAGATGTCTTAGGACAGTACTGGCTTTTCAACTTTGAAATGGAGATGAGCCTAGAGTCGGGAACAACTAGTACATATGTGTGAGGGGAACCTTTATCTTTTACCTACAGTATATACACACTTGAGAAGAAAATACTATATTAACATGCTTCAAGTACCTGAAAGGAAGTCACAAAATAACTACTTTTAAAAAAGCAAATGATTTCATGTCTCTTAACTTCTACAAAGTTAATGTGATGTTGCTGTATTGCTAGAATAGGTCTACTCAGTTCTTCTCTTCGGTTTAATCTCTTGGAATTTCTCATTGTGGGCTTTGTGGTTCTACATTTCTTTCTGTTATTTATCCAAGTACTTTAGCTCAAAATAACTGCATTTTTAGAATGTTTACTTAGAGATATTAGCTTGTAAGTTAATACAGTTTTAAAAGCTTTCATTGGTAAGTGTACCATTTCTGAAAATTCTATATCTTTTTGCTGCCTTCTACTGGTTGCTGAGATTTTTTTTAAAAGAGTATGCATTATATTCATAGTTATTGGGACTAACCCATGCAGAGAAGAAGCAATCAGCATGGGAGATTCCAGGATTAGCAGTGGATCCTTTAATTAAGCAAAGATCTAAGTAGAACTTAATAGTATCAAACTCTAATGCAAAACCTGTCTTTTGTTCCAAATTTTAACATTCAGAAAAATGTTCAGTAACAACAACAAAAAATTCCCTGACTTTGATTCAAAGAATTTTATCTACATGCTGTTTAAATTAATCTTTCCATCTTTTGGATCAATATTTAAAACAGCTGTAATGAGAAAAAATGTTAGAAAATATACATATAAAAACTGTCCTGGAGGTCCAGTTTATAACATTATCTGATCATGATAGATAATACAAAGGTTCTTGAACAGGGATTTGAAGACTGGCTATATTGATATTGAAAGTGACAGGTGTACTATATTCAAATCTGTCTTTAATTAAGAATGACAAATGAAATGCAATTCATCTTATGAAGGATATTTCAAGCCATTTACATTTCTTGAGATAATATTAGCTAATTGCTTCTGTTCTTTCCATCTATGTCTTACCCTTTTAGTTTCAGAAGGAAAAAAAGTTGTCCCAAACCATTGAAGATGAAAAAGACACATTTCTAAAGTCCAAAAAAAACCTTGTATCAGAGTTCTGATGGATGCCTTAATTAACTCATGATCCTTGAGCCAAGTTTCAAAAGAAATCCAATTATTTATTAGGAGGAACTTGTCAGCAACTACTGAGTGAAGTCAACTCTGCATGTAATTTACAGCTCAGTTCTGACCCTGTTTTCCCCTTCCTCTCAGGCTGTGTCATAAATCACATTCTCCAACGAGGCACTTTTGCGGGCTGTAGAAAACACGCCTCACAGGCCAGCTCTGGTAATCTGAGATCCAATCTTGAGGAAGGTATGTGTGGAATGTGCTTTTGAATGTGGCTGTCGTTTTTCCCCCTTCCTGCCCATAGCAACTCGAGAGCAGACCAGAAATGCTTTACAAGTTGACACTTTGGTTAAGAAATAATTTCCAATTTTGCATAATTATAGCATAATTATACCCGAGAAAACATTGCCAAGCTGAAATCAATTGAAAACAAGGGGATGTAGGAGCTTTTATCATCTCATTTATCAAATACAAATGCTTTACTTTTCATAAATATTTAATTTTTTCAGAATTATTTGTGTATTTGTACATCCTTGCATTTTTTTGCACAGACAAAATCATTTTAAATATAGCCATTGGGCTAAATGAAAAAGAAAGAAGAAAAAGAAAAGAAAGAAAGATTAAAAGAAAGAAAAAAAGAAATGAAGCCAAAACAACTTTACATTGGCATTCACTGTATTGCTCTATGCCTTTCTCTCTTTCCAAAGCTTCTGTTAAAGAAGTCACATTTTGTCTCAATTGTAGTAGTTTAAGCTACACAAGAGAGCCATAGAGACTTCGCAGCTCTTCACTTGTTTTCTGCAGTAATTGAGTAACTTACCAGGGCAGGCATTCTTTCAGGGCCAAGTTAGCTACTGTATTAGGTGTATCTTGAGGTTGTGTTAAAAAAGGAGAAATGAAAATCTTTCTGGATTGCCATGCTTTTGACGGCATCATAAAAGGTAAGACCAAAAGTAGGCAAACTCAAAGGGTGATCAAGACAGATAAATCAAGCTTAGGCTCCAAAGGGAGAGAACATTTTTTTTTCAAAATTCTTTCCCGCCCCCCCCCTCCCCAGAAAGAAAGAATTATCCTGGTGGATAATGAAACACTGATGGAATGTTCTTTTTTCTGTTTCCCTTGGATACAGTTGTCCAGTTTTAGAAAAAAAAAATGCTCTTCTTATACAATCTCTCTCTTTCCTATACAATTGTTCTTTCCATTAGTTAGTTGGCCTAGTTAAAATTATCTTTAGTTAAGTTGATTGTAACAACCATGCAAAAATGCAATAAAATGACAGTAAAAGAGTAAGACCGTAAAATAGTGTTGGATGTAAATGTTACAGCAAAATAAAGCCAAAACTATCACTTAAGTGCTTAAGCATTTCATTTTATTCAGTTTCATCATTTCATTTTTGATCATTTTATTAAATTTGTATACCGCCCTACTCCCGAAGGACTCAGGGCGGTGAACAGCCATAAAATAAAACATATAAATACAAAATTTAAAATAGAGATAAAACAAATTAAATAAATTTGGCTGAACCATTTTAAAACCTCAATAATTTAAAACCAAATTTAAAATTTGTGATCTTATTCAGGAGGGGGGAGCGGACCTGGCAGGTATTACGGAGACCTGGTTGGGCCATGAGGGGGGGGGTTCCCCTCGTGGAGATGTGCCCATCAGGCTTCCGTGCATTTCATTAGCCGAGAGCTCAGGGCAGGGGTGGGGGGGTGGCGGTCATTATAAGAGAGGGTCTTGATCCGAGGGAGACCACTGTGCCTCAGATAGCCGGATGTGAGTCCCTTTTCGTGAAGTGGGGTCATGGGGTGCAGATGGGTCTGTTGATCACGTACCTGGCTCCCTGCCACGTGGCGACGACCCTGCCCGAACTCCTCAATGTTATAGCCGAGGTGGCGGCTGATACCCCCAGACTTCTGGTCATGGGGGATTTCAACTTGCCATCCATTGGTGAAACTTCTGAGGTAGCTCGGGAGTTCATGGCTTCCATGACGGCCATGGACCTGACCCAAGTAATTCACGGCCCTACTCACATGGGGGGACACACTCTGGACTTAGTTTTTGTCTCTGGTCAGTGGTTGAGTGGCCTTGATATAGGGGATATAGATACTGAACCCTTGTCATGGTCTGACCACTCGCTCCTTCGACTTGACTTTCTGACCGCCGCACCCCATCGCAGGGAGGCGGAGCCGACCAGGTGGTTCCGCCCCAGGCGCCTGATGGATCCTGATAGGTTCCAGATGGAGCTTCGGCCATTTCCTGAAACTCTAGCTCACGACTCGGCTGATGACCTGGTGGCCGCCTGGGATAGTGCGGCTGCTGGGGCTTTGGACCGGGTCGTGCCTTTGCGGCCTCTGACCCGGCACCGAACTCACTTAGCTCCTTGGTTCTCCGAGGAGCTGAGAGAGATGAAGCGCTGGAAAAGACGCCTAGAGAGCGGTTGGAGGGCCAGTCGTTCCGAATCCGACTTGACACTGGTAAGGTCTCATATTAAGACCTACCTAGTGGCGATAAAAGCGGCGAAATCTAGCTATTTTGCCATTCTTATCGCGTCATCAGATAACCGCCCAGCCGCCCTGTTCAGGGTGACCCGCTCCCTTCTCCATCTGGGCGCGCGGGAGGACCCCTTGCAGGGCCGAGCTGAGGATTTTGTACAGTATCTGGATGATAAAATAACTCAGATTCGGGAAAACTTGGCCACTGACTGGGTTAGTTCAGACGAGATGACTGAGGCAGGCCTTGAGAATGTTATCTGGGAGGAGTTCGATCCTGTGGCTCCCGAGGACATGGACAGGATCTTGGGACGGCTGAACGCCACCACATGTTTATTGGACCCGTGTCTCTCCTGGTTGGTGCTGGCTTCCTGGGAGGTTACACGAAGCTGGCTCCAGGGAATTATCAACGCTTCTTTGAGTGAGGGTGTCCTGCCGGCCGCCTTGAAAGAGGCGATGGTGAGGCCTCTCCTCAAGAAGCCATCCCTGGATCCAGCTGTTTTGGCTAACTATCGTCCAGTCTCCAACCTTCGCTTTATTGCGAAGGTTGTTGAGAGTGTGGTGGCACGACAGCTTCCACAGTACCTGGATGAAGCTGTCTATTTGGATCCGCTCCAGTCCGGTTTCAGACCTGGGTACAGCACGGAAACGGCATTGGTCGCGTTGGTGGATGATCTCTGGAGGGCTCGGGATAGGGGTTACTTCTCTATCCTGGTCCTGTTAGACCTCTCAGCGGCTTTTGATACCATCGACCATGGTATCATGTTGCGCCGGCTGGAGGGACTGGGAGTGGGGGGCACCGTTTTGCGGTGGTTCTCCTCCTATCTCTCCGACCGGTCGCAATCTGTGTTGACAGGGGGCAATGGTCAACCCCGAGGCGCCTTGTTTGTGGGGTGCCACAAGGGTCGGTCCTCTCGCCCCTCCTGTTCAACATTTATGTGAAGCTGCTGGGTGAGATCATCCGTGGTTTTGGGGTGGAGTTCCATCAGTACGCTGATGATACTCAGCTGTACATCTCCACCCTAGACCATCCCAACGATGCCTTGGAAGTGATGTCCCAGTGCCTGGAGGCCGTGCGGGTCTGGATGGGGAGAAACAGGCTTCGACTCAACCCTTCCAAGACCGAGTGGCTGTGGCTGCCGGCGTCCCGGTATAGCCAGCTGACGCCATCGCTGGTTATTGGGGGTGAATCATTGGCCCCCACGGAAAGGGCCCGCAACTTGGGCATCCTCCTGGATGCACGGCTGTCCTTAGAAGGGCATATGACGGCCGTGGCCAGGGGGGCTTTTTATCAGGTTCGCCTGATACGCCAGTTGCGCCCCTTTCTGGATCGGGACTCCCTACGCACAGTCACTCAAGCACTCGTCACTTCTCATCTGGACTATTGTAATGCTCTCTACATGGGGCTCCCCTTGGGGTACACCCGGAGGCTCCAACTGGTGCAGAATGCGGCCGCGCGGGGGATTATGGGAGCGACTGGGCGCTCCCATGTGACTCCTCTCCTGCGCGAGCTGCATTGGCTTCCGGTGGACTTCCGGGTGCGCTTCAAGGTGTTGGTGATCACCTTTAAAGCGCTCCATGGCTTAGGGCCAGGGTACTTACAGGACCGCCTTCTGCCACCAATAGCCTCCCCCCGGCCAGTTCGCTCCCACAGAGAGGGCCTCCTCAGGGTGCCGTCGGCTAGACAATGCCGGCTGGCAAACCCCAGGAGGAGAGCCTTCTCTGTGGTGGCACCTACCCTTTGGAACAATCTACCCCCAGAGATACGAGTGATCTCCGACCTCCGGACCTTTCGTCGGGCCCTAAAAACTCATCTCTTTCAGTTAGCCGGTCTCTCTTGATTTTATGATTTTATGGTTGGTTTTAAATTTTGATATGGATTTTAAATTTATAAATTTTAAACTATGGGCCAAATTTAATTATTTTAAATCTATTTTTAATCGTATTTATGTATAAATGTTTTTATTTTGGCTGTTCACCGCCCTGAGTCCGAAAGGAGAAGGGCGGTATAGAAATTCGAATAATAAATAAATAAATAAATAAAAATTCCCATTTAAAAAGAGGAAAAGTTTAGGTCAGGCCAGCTTGATGGAATAGGAACGTCTTAAGCGCGCGGCGGAAGGTACGCAGATCCGGAATCCTCCGTATCTAGTTTGAATGATAACAGAGCAAAAGTAGCATATTTGCTGCTTGCAGTTGGGGATACATCTCCAAGAAAATAGTTCAGTTTTGCAAAGTCTGAGTTCTTGGCTTCATCTGTCATCAATAATTTAGCCCTGGTCTCTTTACAAATGGGACAGTGGAGGACATCATGGATAATGTCCTTTACCTGACCAATACCATAAGGACATAGACATTGTTCAATAGGACACTTCCAAAATTTCCTTCAAGATAAGCAGAAGTCATGGTCTGCATGTGAAGGATTGTTAAAACTCTTCTCCATGGAACGCTGGTAATATGCTTTTAATAGGGATGGGGTTCCAAAATAAAAAATTCAATTGATGATTGAATTGTTGTGACATCTTTACAGGTAGTCCTCAACTTACAACAGTTCACTAAGGGACCATTTGAAGTTAAAACAGCATTGAAAAAATGACTTATGACCATTTTTCACACTTATTACCATTGCAGCATCCCCATGGTCATGTGATTTACATTCTGATGCTTGACAACTTTATGACAACCGAAGTGACCCAGTGTCATGTGATTGCCTTTTGCAACTTTTTGATAAGCAAAGTCAATGGAGAATTTACT